CAAATCTTGATTTATTTAAGTCAGAAATTGGTCTCTAAGCCACTGGTTTTTGAAATGTCTATGAAAACTATGCAAAAATTCTTTGAATAAAAGTTCTGATTTTTATTTGTTAAAGTGCTCATTTGAAGGTAGTTTGTCCAGCTCTTCAAATATTCTTTTCTTCTCATCATAATTATACTGACACTTGATTATCTGTGGCAGCCAAGGGAATTGTACCTTGAGGAGCTCCTGCTGTGGGGAACTCGGCTACCTGTGGGCCCAGCCCCTGCGCTCCAAGATCCTTCGCTCCCTGTGCACAGAGGCCACGCTGTGCCCCCATGTCTAAGTGTGGTGGGGACACCAAGGCAGGCCCATTCCTGGGAGACAAAGGACTCCTTTCTGAGCTACCTTTGTTGTTTAAAGGCTGCTAAATTGGGGAGAAAATTGTTACTCAACAATAGATAAATAATAGAACCCTCAAAGCCATTTACTTAAGTTAGTTTTTAATATACTATGTAATTATCATATATGATATATAACAATAATGGTATTTGTTGAGCAGTAGTAATGTTCCAGATACTAAGTGCTTTACCTGAACTAAGTTGTTCACAACAATCCTGTGATATTTGTATTATTGTTATTAATTTATTTCGTGGAGGTCACACGGGTTTGTAACATTAGATAAATTTCAGGTGTACATTTGTGTTATTATTATTTCAAGTTCACAGAGAAGAAACCTGGAGGAACCAAGAGGTGAAGTGACTTTCCTAAGGTCGTCGAGCTGGTGAGTGGTGTCACCAGGATTTGAACCTGGGGAGTCCACTTGCAGAGCCAAGCCTGAGCTGGGGCTGGAGAATCTGTCCCCACGTTCACTCCCACAGTTGTCAACGGGCCTTCACTCCTTCCTTTCCACGGGAACTTACCTCCCGTGAGTTTAAACATGAGATCACGCTATATGGAGTTTTGTATTTTTTTCCACCAGCAGCATTTCGTAAATATTTTTTCGTGTAACTAAACGTATTTGTAATCATCATTTCTTTACGGCTTTGGATGCAAAAATGTTAACTTGAAAAGCAGAATTCCTTTTGGCAAATCCGCTAAAATATAGTGAAAACCGTCTCTCTTTATCTCTTTAATTTACGCACTAAAACAGGGAAACCTCACTCACCAGTTGGCTGTTGGCTTCTCTGATTCACGACAATAAAAAAAAAAGTGAAATTGGTGTTTTTACTTGAGAGGAGAGATCTTATCTGCTTTTAGTACTATATACTCACATCTATCTTCCTTTTTGTAATTATAAGATAAATAACTTGTAAAATTTGAAATTCTACAAAAGGTAAAAACTCTTTCTTCAGTGCTAAATGTAGAGATACAAAGTTAACACGAATAATTCACTACTGTAGTGAAGAAAAAATACTATTTTCAGTAATTGAAAAATTCTTACTGAGCTGTCTGAATTATTATGGTCTTTTTTTTGGTAAGGCGTTGTGATATGGGAAACAGTCTGCCAAGGGTAGCAGGAAAGTCTCTCCCGTCTCTGAGTTTCACACAAAGGCTTCCTGCTTGGAGGTCTTCGTTGTTTATTTACGGGAAGAGAGCTTGAGGGGGGCTCACACTGTTGGCTCCACACATCCCTGTGTATGTGACGTTGACTTAAAAGAGCCCCACGCTAGTTGTCATTATAAACACAAATCCTCCACCTCGGGAGAAAGAAAGTCAATAAGACGGAGGCCTTCAGAATGATGTCTCAGGCCTGAGAGCACCTTCGACAAAATGCATCCCGTTAGGAGGGCTCTAAGGAGAAGGAAACTTGAAAATCAGCAACGAAACTGCAGCTATGCCAAGAGGAACTAATTCTAAATGAAGTAAATTCTTCGTGCTGTCTTTTAAAAGCGTCTTTTGGTTATAGCTTTTCATTTTCAAGATCCAGGAGGGTGTAGAACCGTGTATCACTCCCGGCGATACCCCTCATTTCTTGTGTTGCTTCCTTTCTTTTACTGCAGACGACTAAAGACTGACAATAGAATAGAATACAACACGTTTATAATTTTTTTTTTACATTTTGCACCAATATTGTTCATGTAAAAGAGAAATGAGTTTTCCCTAAATGGTAGCCTTAGCCTTTAATGAGTTTTCCATTTGGCACAATTCCTTAAGTCCTTTCAAGAGAATCTTCTTTAGGCGTCGGGTTATAACTTAATTCAATCAATTTATGGAATACAAGCCGGGCCATTATTCTAGGAAGTTTCCATGGGTTCGGGATCTCTATTGCCCAGGAAACTTTCTAGGATTTAACTTGATGAGCCCGTCTAACTTTGCTTTTTATAAACCGGCTATAGAGTGGAAGCTGGCACTGAGCGATTGGAGCAAAGTGTTACGTTACACATTGTTATGAATGTTAATGGCTGACTATTTAGCAAGAATTTGTGACTTTTGGGCAATGAATGGGAGCTGAGGATGAGGTAAGATTTTTTTCTTTAGAAGCTGAAGGCTCAGTTTATTTAATTCACTTCAGAGAATACCGCTGGAGTAAAGTTCAGCACAGAAGCAGGTGCTAAACACCACTTCCATTTATTCAGCTGGTGTGAGTGTTACAGGAAGCCACTTACAAGCGGTAAACACACGGATACAAAAATAAAAGTTCCTTTAAAACTGGCCTTAAGTCTAAAGCTTATTTCAACAATTTTATTACTTCAATTAAGTTAAAATATATGATTTAAATAACTATAAATAGTTAATTAATGTGTGAAAAGCACATGGTCCCAAACGATGCTGGAGTGGTCTCCCAAATAATGAAGCAATTATGCACAATAAAGAGAAATACAGGCAGAAGACTCTTATGGAGTGGGATGTTATTCTACATATTACTTTAGGTGTTATTCTTTCTCAGGAGTTAGTTAGGCTAAAAGAACATATCTATAATGTGTTTTTAACATTTAAATATTGTAACCTGTCAAAGTTTGATGAAGGCCCTTGTAAAAACTTTGAACGCCTAATAGTTAGATTTTGTCTCCAGGCGCAGAATTTATACTATCAACAACCCTTCTGGTTAATAATTGGTGTTTCAAAGAAGAGAACTAATCAGTGGTGTCTTTTCCTGTTTTCATTTTTTTTTCAAAGATTTTTTATTTTTTCTCCCCAAAGCCCCCCGGTACATAGTTGTATATTATTTGTTGGGGGTCCTTCTAGTTGTGGCATGTGGGACGCTGCCTCAGCGTGGTTTGATGAGCAGTGCCATGTCCGCGCCCAGGATTCGAACCAACGAAACACTGCGCCGCCTGCAGCGGAGCGCGTGAACTTAACCACTGGGCCACGGGGCCAGGACCCTCCTGTTCTCATTTTTAAAGGGCTTCAAAGTCGATGACCGTTGTTACCAGTTTTGGAGGAACCTGGTTCAGGCTTGGCAGGAGGCTCTGGACAAGCTCTCCGTGTTGTGAGGCCAGCTGAGGCCAGGACACCAGAGGTTTCTGGAGCCGGCTCGTTTCTGCAGCTCCTGCCGCCCGGAGAACCCAGACACATGGGGGAACGGGCTCATGGAAGCGTCTGAGGCCTTCACTGCTGCCCAGGCCTAGCACTTACGGCGGATACGTCCTACTCGTTGGGCCACAGGAGTCCATCGACCCTAACGCCAGGCTCTCTGGGACGCGCATGCTGTTCTTGGAGCAGCACCCCAAGAGTTGACTTCCCTCCATTTGTTCCCTTTTCTTCTCTTTTCCACTCTGCTCATGTTGCCCATTCTGCGAGTTTCTTCCAAAGCTTGAGACACCAAAGCACGAGCTGTCCACCTGCTTAAACCCACCCTTCTCCCTGTTTCCTAGTCCTTGAGAACTCCCCGGGTTCTTGACCAAGATGAGTCGGTTATCCTGTGGTTCCGCTCCCTCTGCAGGATTGGCTTATTTTTTCTCAGCTACAGCCCAGTTGTATTTCAAACTTTCCTCCAAAATACAGTGCTTCTGGGCAAATCTGTGACTAATTGACTCATTACAGATGTTCTTTTTTAAACCAAACTAAAAATTAAATGCAATTAGAAAGGAAACGACGCAGTTGAAAGAGCACTGGACGGGAAGATAGGAGACAGCGACTACAGGCCTGGTTCCACGATTGCCGGGGCGCCTGAGCTTGGTTGCTTCCTCTTGACTGGGTTTCACTTCCCACACATCACTTCTGTAAAATTTATCAATGTAAATTACATATAATCAATATATTGGTATCTAATCAATACTTAAAAGATCATTTATCAAAAATATAATGTATACACATACAGATATAGATGATTATGAATATAAGGATGAAATGAATAAAAATACAAGGTTATATATAACTATTATAATCAATAATATAATAATTATATAACTGTACCTAAAATATATAATTGTATAATGATATTATATGATATATCATATACAGTCTTTTTGCACGGATTTTACCCTCACATTTGCACAGTGTGTTGGGCTGGCTTCTAGACGTCTGGTTTCCCCCCGAGTTGCTCTCGGATGAATCTCCCAGAGAGCGAGGCTCACTCTCTCCTCGCTGCGGGAGGTTAGTGGCGTGCCCGACACAGACCGGTGTGCTTAATTATTGCAATAAAGGACAGTCATATTCTATACTTTAAATATCACAGGCTCTTAGTTTTACATGAAAACGCATCTAACGTTCGTGTCATCTGGATACACGCTCAGCCGTGGAGAGAGTCGAGTCCTTTCAAGGGACGCTATCCATCCTAGAACGACCTACTTTTGTATGTTCCCGTTGTCATTTCACAGATGAGAGCAGTGAGGCCCGGGATCTAAGCCCCGGCTCCCGCCTTCTGGTCCCCTTGCTTTCACGGTGCCTCATTGCACTGACCCTAAGGGGTCGGTGACGATGGGGGCGGCCTGCCCCTCCGCCGCCTGCAGACGGCTATCTACCATCAGAGACCCCACAGCGGGGGCTCGGCCTCAGCCCGCCCCGGGGCGGGTCCCCGTGTACCCCGCGGTCCTGGGGACAAAGGGCGGCGCGCCCGAGCGCAGCCCTCTCGCGGCATGGGTTGCGGCGCCAGCACGAAGGTGGCCCCGGGGCCGCGGGGCCCGCGGGAGGGTCTGGGCGCAGGCAGGCCGGAGACAGCGGCGGAGGCGGCGCGGAGGATGCGGGTGGCGCGCTTCCGAGCGCGGTTCGAGCCCCGGGTCCTAGCCAGGTGAGGCGCGCAGCAGGCGGGCGGAGGGGACCGCTGACAGGTGGGCTCCTTTCCCTAACCCCAGACGGGCTCCTTTCTGATGCCAGGCCCCTGATGGACCACCCGTGACCCTCTCCGCTCCTTGGCCATGTAAATCTACAGCCCGGGGTGTCTTCTCAAGGACCTGGGCGCCGTGCCTTTGAAATGCAATCAAGAAGGAAAGCTAGGGCCACTGTTGAACAATGTGTGCGGGCAGGCCGGATTCTAACTTCCACAACGCTCAGAAGTCCTCATCACACTGACACCCTCCCCTAACGTCCTCCGGGATTCTCTAGGAGCTCACTCCAGCCTTCAAACTCTCCTGCCTTTGACAGCTGAGTCCATCTCTCTCCCTGTCGCGATGGTCTGGAATACAGCCTTCCTTGCCCTTTCAACCAGTGTCCAGTGCAGCCTCTCTGACACCTGTGCAGGCAGGTCAGAGGACAGGGCAAATTCAGACTGAAAGGAAGAGGAGCAGCCGCAAAGAAAGGGAGGGATGCCTGGGGTGGGAGTAGGGGTGGGGAGGGCCTCCAGGCCCCCATCGCGCCTAGGGGGCCTTGCCACAGCCAACCGGGGCTGGGTTCAGACAAGCCTGGTTTGTGAAGGATCTGTACGAAATTCTAGAAAAGGAGATCACAGTTAGTGGAATAGAAACAGGCCTTCCGATCAGCCAGACTTGAGATGCTCTCCTGTCTCTTCCATCGTGTGTCATTGGGAAAGTTCCTCAGCCTTTCCCCTTCCTCAGTTTCTGCCTCTGTAAAATGGGAATGCTGATATCCATCGCATAAGAATGCGGTGAGGATAATTAAAGTCAGACATGTGAACCTTGCTGCACAGTGCATGGCACGAGTCCTCATTTAGATGTCAGTGTGATGCTTACCGTTGTCTTCGTGAAGCACACGCAAAACCTAGTTGACTCTACGTAGGAAATGAGCAAAGAGGGCACCTTGGTTGGCCTGAGGAGCAATTTCCTCAGAGTGCACCATGTTGGACACACTGAGGAAGGAAATCATGGACCCCCCCCCCCCCCCCCACCTTCCACTCTGCAGTGTTTGGTGAAACACAGTGGTGGTGGCTCCCCTGGCTTCTCAGAGACCCTTCTAGGCCTACAACTGCATGCTCACTTCATCACAGTGCTCTGACCAGGGTCTACGCTGAGACTTTTTCTGGCCTCCTTGGGAACTTCTAGTCCAAGGACGACTTGAGGATCAGTCCAGTAGCTGCTAAGCTTAGAGAAGAACAGAGCTGGCTGATCCAGCTGAACTTGAAGCAGAGTGGACACTGGGTCTTGTCAAGACTGAATTGGTTAAATGGCATTGCTGGTCGTCTGTAGCCAGGGAGATGAGGGCCACTGGGTGCTAGTCTTTATCCACTCTTATAACCTCCACCTCCAGGGTGCTCCCAGCCCCTCAGAGTGTGAGGGGCCATAGAAGCAGAGGATCTCAACATTGGAAGGGTTTTAGAGACTAACTCAAGGCCCTTCTTTAACAGATGAGGATTTGAGCCCCAAGAGATGAAGTGATTTGTCCAAGTTGGTGGCAGAGTTGGGTGTAGAACACAGTTGTCTTTCCTCTCTGTTGTGATTCCACTATAACTCTTGCAGAAGGGGGAGGATAGAATTTAAACCTGACTATATTCACTTTCTTCTTGGGAATTCATTACAATTGCTTCTATCAAACAGGTTGCGATATTTTTATTGTTTCCACGTTTTATTTTTTTATCCATGTTCAAAAGATTCCCAGTTGGTGGCAGCTGAGGTTAAAGTGATAATTTCAATTTCCGTCCTCTTTGGGATGATGTAAAATTGCATCACCTACAAAGTTGACTTTGAGGTGGCTCTGTAGGGACTGGAAGTGGAGGAAATGGAACAGCCTTGTAAATGCATTCTCCCATGCTTGATTCAATCCTTAATGTTTTCAAAATGTATATGATAATTTGGGAATAATATGTATTCAGTGAATGATTCCTTCAGTCATCGTTTACTGCTGTCTCCTTTGTGTAGGGCATTGCACAAGATATAGCCACTCAAGTCATAAAAATGGTCAACATCCATAGCCATCAAGGGCTCAGAAGCAAGGTTGCAGCTTCAGGAATTTGTTATGGGACTTTTGTTATTGTCTGAAGCCATTTATTTCCACTGCTCTAAATCTTGGCTTAAGGCCTACTGTTTCCTCCAATGTGAAATTCCAGGCGTTTTTTCAAATATTTAGTATATGAAGATCCTTAGCAGTATTGAATAAAGCTCCTTTTATTTGAGCAAAAGAGTGTAGTTCCCCAGAAATGGTAATTCATCTGCTTTCTGATGATTAATTCTGTGAGCAAATGAATTTGCCTGTGGTTTTGAGGGCGTAGTGATAAATTAGTGTTTGCAAGTGCTTCCATCCACATTAGACGTAATGTAAAACTAGGTTGGTCTGCAAAACAATAGAATTTGAAATGCCTGTGATCATCTTTAAAATCACACTGAGAGTGCATGTGAATAAAAATCAGATCTGGAAGGAGAAGAGGGGACAGAAGCTGTTTAGGATTACTAAACTGCAATCTGTTTTGATAAGGTAATTGGCCAGAAAATTAAATGCACCATATAGAACAAAGCTGTTTTCTGCAGGCTGGTATAGCCAAATGCCATTTTTATTTCATAAGCACCAGAATATAAGGAACAAGTAAGTAGACAAAAAAAAATTTTTAGAAAGACTAAGCTCAGCAAAAAGAAATAAGGGTCTTTAAAGCGCGATTGGTGTTCCCGTTTGAATCTTTGGCATTGAGGATGTCACTTAAAGATTTACCTTCTCCTTGCTTACTCCCCGAGTACGTTCCATTCTCTGGCATCCTTGTGTGGAAGAAGTTTTAATAAAGTGGGAAGAGCACCGAATTATGATCCAGGTAAGGATATCTGGATTCTAACCCTGACTCTTCAACTTGAATGACTGATTAGCCAACCTCAGCTTCAAATTTCCTCATTTGTAAAACGAGGAGTTGGATTAAATCATTCTCTATATTCTTTCCAGCTGTAAAAGCATGATTCTAAGTCAGGCACTTTCTCAATGTTTCTTAAATAAAGGTAGAGGGTTACATTTGGTAGGATTCTTAAGTTTACATAGACACTTACACAGGTAATTCAAGTTTAAGATCCCTAGCCTTTGAAATCCTAGCTGACTTCCTGGCCTTTCTGAGAGATAATTGTTTTACACATTATTGACATACGACCCGTGTTAAAATTCTGTTTGCTGTGTAGAAATTGCAAGTGCAGGAGGTGACTGGATGGTGGGGGAGGGAGAGTGTGGAGATGCAAAGCTGCTGGCTGCAGGGTGGTCCTAACTCCACCCCCACCACTGAAACCGTACGGAAACCTGCCCTAATAACAGGCAGGCTTACTTTTCCAGTGTTCATCTGTTACGGAGCTACTGTGGACCAGACATGAGATGTGCCCAGACCTGAGAGCTCCCGGTCAAGCATCCAGAATAAGCCTACTCATTGTGCCCTGTCTCCTGATATGGTTTCTTCTCTCTTCTGAGAAGTTATAAACAAGACTAAGCTTCCTTTTTATTCTCTCCGCCTGATTTGGTGGTTGTTGTTGACGAATGATAAAAACAAAAGCTGGAGGGAGGAAAGAATATGGTAGAGGGAGGTCCTGAAATTTCTCAAGGAAATTTTGGTGAAAATCATTTGAAGGGTTTGGATTTAAATTCCATCCATTTCCACTACAATCCGTGTGACCTTGGGAAATCACTTAGCTTCTTTAATCCTTAATTTCCCTATCCGAAAGAGGGAGATAGTATTATATCATCAGTAGGAATATCGTAAGGATAAGAATTAAAAAAGAATGCCTAGCACATAATAAATTGATAATAAATGGTAGCTATTAAGATTACTTATCTTTCTACCAACTAATTACTTTTATATCACTTGCTTCCATTTTTTTTTTTTTTTAAGGAAGATTATCCCTGAGCTAACATCTGCTGCCAATCCTCCTCTTTTTGCTGAGGAAGACTGGCCCTGAGCTAACACCCATGCCCATCTTCCTCTACTTTATATGTGGGACTCCTGCCACAGCATGGCTGGATAAGCAATGAGTAGGTCTGCGCCCAGGATGTGAACTGGCGAACCTGGGCTGCTGAAGCAGAGCATGCAAACATAAATGCTGTGCCACAAGACTGGCCCTTCACTTGCCTCCGTTTTGAAAGAGGATTTGGGGTGGCTTTCAAAAATAATAAACACAGTTAAGGAATGATAAGCAAGGAAATAGGATGGGGAATATAAAGATAGAAAAGATGATATAAATCATCAACTTAGATAATTTTGAGAATCATCACTTCTGAGGATAACAGAGTTGCTTTTTCTTCCCAACAGGTATGACATCAAGGCTCTTATTGGGGCAGGCAAATTCAGCAAGGTTGTCAGGGTGGAGCAGAAGACCACCAAGAAACCCTTTGCAATAAAGGTGATGGAAACCAGAGTGAGAGAAGGCAGAGAAGCCTGTGAATCTGAGCTCACCGTCTTGAAGCGGGTTAGGCATCGTTACATTGTCCAGCTCATGGAGATCTTTGAGGCCCAGGATCGAGTCTACATAGTAATGGAGCTGGCCACGGGAGGGGAGCTCTTCGACCGACTCATGACCCAGAGGTCCTTTACAGAGCAGGATGCTGTCAGAATCCTCCACATGGTGGCTGATGGGATCAGGTACCTGCACGCATTGCGAATCACTCACAGGGACCTAAAGCCCGAAAATCTCTTATATTATCATCCAGGTGCAGAGTCGAAAATTTTAATCACGGATTTTGGTTTGGCACACTCTGGGAACAAAAGTGGTGACTGGACAATGAGGACACTGTGTGGGACCCCAGAGTACATAGCCCCCGAGGTCTTGCTGAGGAAACCTTATACCAGTGCAGTGGACATGTGGGCTCTTGGCGTGATCACGTTTGTTTTACTTAGCGGATTCCTGCCTTTTGATGATGAAAGCCACACAAGGCTCTACAGGAAGATTCTGACAGGCAAATATGATTATGCACGAGAGGTAAGAGATCATTTTATGGCTGTTGAGTTGGGCTGAGGTAGAGTTTCTGCACCTCAGCACTACTGATGGTTGGGGCTGGATGAATCTTTATTGGGGGTGAGGTGGGGACATGGGCGTGGGGCTGTCCTGGCATCGTAGGATGCATAGCAGCATCTCGCTAGATAACCACCGGACACCAGTAGATACATTACTGTGGCTGCTGGTCGATACTGATATCTAGTAGGTATATCAGATATACATCTTCCCTGACTTGTGACAACCCAAATTGTCTCCAGACATTGATAAATGTCCCCTGGGGGGCAAAATCATCCCTGGCTGAGAGCCATTGGTCTCAGGGCAGCAAGAGCCCCATTTATGGAAATTGTCTGTGGTTAGCACGTGACACTGACAATCAAGTGGATAAGGGAGTTTGTTTGCTGTTTATTCTCCAACTCAGCATGCAGACCCTGGGCCAGCTGAGTCGACTGATGTGTACTCAGAAGCCCAGCAGGATGCTGCGGTGTTTGGGGAGAGATTTTCCTCCTTAAATCGAGATGATCTCAGCCCCTTTAGTGAAGTGGTGTTTCCATAGAGAAACATTTAAGCTCACAGCTTGTGTCAAATATTTATCCATTGTTTAAACTTGGAGCAGCCAGTGTTCAGGAATGTGTTAACCTTTTGTTGTTTTGTTTATGGAAGGAAAGTTACCATGCTTGTGTGTGGGAAGCAGGCAAAATAGGAAATTCGTTTCACGTTGAGCAAGTGACCAAGTTTATTTTTTGTTTAACTATACAAGGATTTTTTTCCTCGCAAAGTATTGATAGTTATGATTATATCTGCTTAGAGTGTAACATCTGTATGAAGAACATCTTAAGCAAAATTAAAAGCTAAATAACAAATCGAAAAATATTTTCCATTCTCTGACAGAGCCTTCATATCTTATTGTCCATGTACATGTTTTAAAAAACTCATACCAATTGACAACTGAGAACTGAGACATAGGGAAATAGGAAAGAATCTACAGACAGTGCAATATCATTGATTATTGAAAGTTTGGAAAATGTCCAACCTCACTCGTGACCAAAGAAATGCAAATGAAAAAATTTTCTTCTTTTGATTTTTCAAATTGATTAAAAAAACCCGAAAAACTCAACTTAACTCTACTCATCGCTGCCAGGGCGCTAAGAGATTAGCCCTCTCATTTGCCACTGGTAGAGGGTGAATTGTTACAGATTTCTTGGAAAGTAGTTTGAAAATACCCATCTAGAACTTTAAAAAGTTTGTATCTTTTGATGTGGTAATTCCACTTCTAAGAATCTAAGAAATTAATCCCAGATGTGGCCAAGGTTTCAGTAAAAAGATGCTCATCTGAGCTCTATTACAAAAGTGGCAAATGGAAAAGAACCCTAAGAGCATGTTTGAATAAAGTACGAGACAGTCATATGACAGAGCATGGTCATCCCTAAATTATGCATGTTTAAAAATTATAAGGACATTGGAAAATGTTCACAATATGCTGCCAAGTGAACAAAAAGCTGAATGCAAACTGTGTTTAGAGTGTTATCAGAATCGCATTGGAAAATGCATGCATAGGGAAAAGGCTTGGAAGAAATATAATAAAGTGTTAACAGAGCTCATCTCCTGGTTTGGAGGTTATGGATCATTTTGGTATTCTTCCTTATAATTTGAATATCTTTGCTTTCTGTTTTTGTTTTCTTTACAAAGAATGCATGTTTCTGTTTTGGTTATCTATTGCTGCATAACAAACCGTCCCCAAACCTGGTGGCTAAAGTAACCAGTGTTTTATCGTGACTCCTGGTTCTGTGGGTTGATGGGGTTCCACTGGGTGAGTCTTCTGCTCCACGTGATGTTGGAGGGGCTACAGGCATCCGGGGCCTTGACGGGGATGGAATATCCATGGTGGCCCCTCAAGTGTCTGACATCTTGGTGGGGATGGCTGGAAAGCTGGGTTCAGCTAGGTCAGCAGGACCGCTGGGCCTTTTTCTCTCTCCTCTCTCTCCATCTCCAGGCCTCCTTCTCTTCGCAGGGTTTCTCTGTGTGGTCTCTCCAGCAGCATAGTCAGACTTTTTACCTGGCGGTTTAGGCCTTCCAAAAGGGAATATTCCAAGAGGGAGACAGTGGAAGTTACCAGTCCTTTTCAAGGCTGGGCTTGGAAATGGCACAGCATCGCTTTGCCCTCATTCCATTGGTTACTGTGAGCCCCAGACCAGCCCAGATTCCACGTGGGAGGAGACCACACAGGGTGTGACTAACTGGGGATGTGGTCCCTTGGGGCCACACTCAGACCAGATATCACAATTATTTTTTTGATGTGTAAAAAAACAGTATATTGTGTTAAGTGTCCAAAGTCCAAAAGTTGTCAGGTTTAATTTAGAAGGTTTCTGAGGTCCGGTTCCCCCAAAGGCAGCCCTAAGAAGAGGACTCCTGTGCAAGTGATTGATTAGGGATAGACGCCCAGGGAGATGGGTGACGGGAGTGGGGGAAGCAGGACAAGGAAGGGGAGGGGGCCAAGGCCACGGGAGTCAGCCTCGTCTTGCAGGGAAGTTATTCCTCTGCATTATTCCAACCTGACACACATGAGTTGGGTTTTCACACACACACACACACACACACAGACACACAGACACACAGACACACACCTATCACCTACGTCACTCTCAGTGGTGCTGGTGGAGAGGTGATGGTAAATTCTCATGTTCTCTGGGGATCCAGGCAAAGTGGTTCCAGGAGCCCCAGGTGGTCTGCTGAAAGAGTGAGGTGCTGGGCTTTAGAAGCAGAGCACTCCAAAGGAGGGAGGTGTGGGTACATGCAGAAAAGATGAGCTCAGGGTGTGGGTGGAGCACTGACATCATCTCCACGGCAGCGGCACTTCTATTTCTGGAGGAAATGCCTGTTTGTGGCCCCAGAGTACTGACAACAACCATCACAGAGCAGGAGCGTGGCTGCTTATAACAAGTTATGGGATTTAGATCCCCCCTGGCTTTCTTCCCCATGCTTGTCAGGCACCCATGTCCATCTTATTAACATTTTCCTCTAATATTACCAAGTGTCTTAGTCATCTCGCACTGCCATAATAAAGTACCACAGATTGGGTAGCTTAAACAATATAAATTCAGGGGCTGACCTCATGGCGGAGTAGTTAGGTTCCCGTGCTCCACTTTGGCGGCCCAGGGTTTCGCTGGTTCGGATCCTGGGCGTGGACATGGCACCACTTGTCAAGCCACACTGAGACGGCGTTCCACATGCCACAACTAGAAGGACCTACAACTAGAATATACAGCTATGTACTGGAGGGATTTGGGGAGTAAAAGCAGAAAAAAAAAAGAAAGAAAAAAAAAGAAGATTGGCAACAGTCGTTAGCTCAGGTGCCAATCTTTAAGAAAAAACAACAAAACAATAGAAATTCAAGTCCAAGATAGGGATGCCAACAAGGAGGGTTTCATCTGAGGCCTCTTCTCTGGGCTTCCGGCAGCTTACGATGAAGAGGAATGATGCATTTGATGTAAACAGCAAATATTTTACTAGGTACCTGGCAGATCCATACTCTAATCTCACCCATGTACAAGCAAAAAATGAGCCATAATACTAACGTTTGATTCTTCTTGATTTTGGTGTGAAACGTATTCCTTTTCACGAAGCTTCAGTGAGCTTTCCACCTAGGCTGCTCTTTCCCTTTTCTGAACGGTGTTGAGGATTATAATAAATCTCTTTCGTTTTGACATTTAGTCTATATGTCATCTCCCTAAGACACTGTAGACTCCTTGAACACTGAGACTCCACTGTGTTTTCCCTCTCCAATAGGATATCACAAAGAGCTAAGCATAGAGAATGCGTTTCAAAAAAACAGATTGCTTTTGAAAATTATGAGAGATTCCGATCTATAGCTATGTGAGTAAATGTGTCTCCACTATAACTGCACTGAGCAGAGACTACAAATTTTAAGTTATAGTAAGGAAAACCATTAGGTAATTAATATTTTTAGTTGCTGAACTTGTTAGACTAATAATGGAATGTGAGGATGGTTCGGAATGTCATACTTACATTATTCCCTGGGTTTGCGGGGTCGGGTTCTCCTATCCACTTGTTTCCTGCAGTGCCTGAGGGGCAAGCAGGGTGGAAAGACACAGCAGACGATGGAAAAGGGGTGGAAGAGGGCAGAGATCCCCTCCCACTGTGAGAGGGGCCTTCCCCTCTCTACTTGATTGCCAATGCCACCATTATGGCTTTCAGCACAGGGGCAGGGCTCATGCTGGAGACGGTAAGTAAGAGGCTCATCCACGATTCTCCTGAGACCCTCTGAATGCATCCTTGTGGTCTCCTCCCTTCCTCCTGGTCAGGGCTTCCTGGGCCAGGAGGCATGCTTGGTTCTGGGAATAGCCACGTGAAAATGCTCATGTCCCTGCTCCTAGGGGTCTAGTGGTCTTGTCTGAGAGACCAAGTAGTGTCAAGTATCTCTTCACATATAATTGCTTTGATGCACTTAGAAACAGAGGCTCAGAGTGCACAGAGGGAGGGAAGAGAGCCTGTCGCTGCTGAGGAAAGTTGGGCTGGATCTCATGAAGGAGCGGACGTTTGTGCTGCGTCTTGGAGCTTCTGAAAGGGAGATTGGCACGTTCCAGGTAGACAGAACGACACATGCAAAATTACACACATGGGAATAAATTGACAGTAAAAACTAAGAATTTTAGAGCATTGGTGTGCACAGGAATGTGGATTTAAGTGGGTATTTTGTAGAGCGGGGCAGTGTGGTGGTTAGGGGCACAGACTGGAGCAGTACTGCCTGGACTCCACTCCCAGCTCTGCCGCTTACTAACTGTGTGACTTGGGCACGTTTCTTAATTTCTCTGTATCTCAGTTCCTTCATTTGTAAAACAGTAATAATGATTGTCTACCTAATAGGGTTCTTGTGAAGATCAAATGAGCCTATAGACGTAGAGAGCTTAGAATAGTTCCACATGTTAGTACAAATATGGTCTGGGCTATATATGTGTTAGCTATTT